TAAGACTTTTTAAGGACCCGCTGGAACCCTGATTGTTGTGTCGATATGCCATTGATTCAGAGGGCCCCTTGCCTGTCTTTGCCTGTGGCCCCAAATTTCCCAAATCCGCCCCTGGAGATAGCCCTTTATAACCTGAGCCTCTGTGACTTAATTTCTCTGCTACTTTTGGGAAATCCCAGCAGGTGATGTTGCAGTCCGGCCTACAGGGGGCAGCTTCCACCCACTCTGCCTCCACACCAACCCAGTCTACTTCCTTCTCAGTTCCACAGCATTATAAAAGTTGGTAAAGTTGGGCGATCAGAGGATGTTTGATGCGTGAAGAGGTGGATTAAATCATTCAGATTAAATCATTCAGATTAAACCCTTCAGATTAAATCCTTCACATCCGTTTTTGTAACAAACCCTCCAAACAGCAGCGCTTCATGACCTGAGCAGAGAAGGACAGGCGGCTCAGGGCGCCCCACTCCATGGAGATCCCTGGATGAGGAAGTGCAGCCCACCGGAGCCGCGCCGCGCCGCGCGTGGGGGGGATGCGCCCCGCAGGGATCGTGACCCATCGAGACGCGGCGGGATCGTGTCAGTGATCGGTGCCAGAGGAGCAGTAAGGTGTGTGGAGTGTAGGGGGGAGGAGGAGGAGGAGGAGGAGGAGCAGGAGGAGCGTCTGGCAGACAGGTGCGCTCCTTCCCTCATTCTCCTTTCATTTTCTGTCGGTCTCCTGCAGGAACCATGGAGACCCGCAGGGACAGAAAGCAGCCGATGAAGGCGAAGACTTCCAAGCGGAAAGAGAAGAAATCTAAAAGTGGGAAGTTCGTCAGGAGGAAATCTCTGCGCTCTATCGGGAATTTCATGGGAAGGATCCTGAAAAGTTTGGGCACTTTAGCGCACTTCGGCGACGCGGAGCCGCCGGACGCAGAGGAGGACGACGGCGGCTTCAGGGGAGGCTTCTCCCAGAGCTCCAGGGAAGGAGCCAAGAACCGGAGCTCCGCGGCCTCCTCTCAGCGCGGCTCGGTGAAGGAGAGGCTGTCCTGGTGCTACGGCGACAAAACGCCCGGCGCGCTGGGTCTGAAGAACCACGGAAACACCTGCTTCATGAACGCGGTGGTCCAGTGCCTCAGCAACACCGACCTGCTGGCGGAGTACCTCGGCCTGGGCCAGTACAAGGCGGATCTGTGCCGCTCCGGGAGGGCGAACGGGGAGGTGAGGGCGGAGGAGGCGCGGAGCTCCGGGGGAGAGGTGACGGAGCAGCTGGCGTCGCTGGTTCGCGCGCTGTGGACGCTGGACTACACCCCGCAGATGTCTGGGGAGTTCAAGGTGAGGACGGGCGGACTGACGCAGATATGTCTGCGATGAGGACAAGTTTACAGTCAGGTGGAGGTGGAGCCATTCATTCTATTCAGTCTATTTCTATAGC